CTACTTAGAAAAATTTCAAAGGATCAGTATGGTGGCTTCAAGCCTTCTCTGTCTTTCCCTGCTAAAAGTTGATGTGTTCCTCTTAAGTTTCTTAGCAGCCTGCAGAAGAGAAGCCTCCCGTAACTTGTCACCAAGCCTGCAAGGAACTTGCTGGGGCTAGCAGAAATGCCGACACCGAGAATGAGCTTTTGTAAAGGTGGAAAGGATGGATGGAAAAAGGCTGGAAAGGATGAAAAGAAGCATAGTGGGCTGGAAATCTTCCAGTGGAAGTTTATTTTCCCCTGGAAAGCCTAAGATGGGGACTTAGCATGGGAATGGAGGGAGCAGCTACAAACAGGATGCGATTTCTGGAAGAGACAGGAGGAAAACCTTGCTCTGGCATGGCGAAGAGCACAAGGGTGATGAGGGAAACAGACTGAAGTTCCTGTTGCACAGATTGGGGTCCCCCTGATCTAGATGAATGCCCCAATCCTAGGTCCCACAATATTGTTAATGAAGAGTTTCACACCCCCACCAGCTGAGTGACCGGTACTGAAGATCTGGCCCTGAAACTAGAGATACCCAGGAGTATTTGGAGATGGATAAAGGAGACGTCACTTAGCCATCACTTCAGGTCACTCCAGCTCTTCAGGTCACTCACCTGCAGCTTAAGACACAGTAAGTAGTATTCAGCATAATTAATTTTAGGGTGTCGATCCTCCCACTTGAGAAACCAGTTTCACCTTACTAGTAAGGCTGCCTGTCTTTGGTGGGCAGTCGTGTCCATGAAACTCTTATTACTTACTGAAAATGCTTCACATCAAAAGGGTCTCTTTTTCTCCTCCGTTTCCCTCAGGGTCCAGCTATGACTCTGTCATAAATTGATGTACAAAGTATGAACAGGATGGTGGGGGTTTTTTATAACAACTTCAGCAATCTTTGTAGTTCATAACTAGGCATGCAGGGTTTTTATTAATTTAAAAGTGTTATTCCCCTTATGAAATATTCATCCCATAGGATTTCTGTGCACATGAAGGTTTTGAAGAAATTGATCTGCAATGCAGTTACTCCTTTAAAAGAATGATTTCTCTATTATCTCTCCCTTTCAGTGATACTGTATATACGAACACTGATTAAATGTGTGATCAATCTCACAAAATCAAACACGTATGTATTTAACTGTGGGTGAATTTACTGTATGAGAGGGCGTATTTGGACAGCCCAGCATGCTGGATGCTTTGCCATGCATCACTTTGTCTGCTCCTCCTCTGGCATCTTTGCAAGCCCTTGGCCTCCCCACCCTGTGGAGATGCCTTCACCCTGCTTCGCATCACCATGCTTGCCAGCTTGGCCGATGCTCCGTTGTCCCATCAAATGGCACACATCTGTTCCCTGAGAGGGCTTTGTGATTGTAATGAACTGTGCAGGGAGAGGTAACTGTTCTTGGGCCATGATACAACAAAACAATTAAGCTTAGACATTTCCCTCAGTGTAAGCTGAGCCCTGTTGACTTCAGTTTCATTGTCATCTCCCCACATTCCTGTGCTGTTTTACAAATAGCTGTTCATTTCACTGGTGAGTGCTGTCATGTCCTTTCTGGACTGCCTCAGGTGGGTAATGATAGCTGGTTTCCAGCCCGCTATGAGTACATACCATGAGATGAAATGTTTCCTGCAGTGCTGGACTCCAAGCAGGGTTCCTGAAAGGTAAGTGAGTCTTGTGTGATTAAAGACCAGAACTTAAGGCCATGCAAAGGGGAGAGATGTGAGTTATTTTGACACCCTTCACAGCAGGATCCTTGCAAGGGCTGACACAGCAAAGCACTGGACTAAAAGCTATCTGATACATCTCACAGGGAAAGCACTATCTCTGCTCCAAATACCCAAGCATTTCAGTCACTTTTAGCCTGCACATGATCCTTGCAAGAGGTATCATCCTGCTCCATATCATGCCAGCAGACCCGTCCAGCTGCACCCTCATCAGTCCCCTCCTCCTTCTGTCCCCACCACACCAGCGCTTGTTTTGGCAGCTTCTGTGCCCTCCCGCCCTGAGCAGCATTAAGCTGTGCTCCCCAGGCCCCCAGCACAAAGGGATAAAGAATAAAGGGCTGAGACTTTACTTTGAGGCATGATGAGAGTCCTCCTCAGGTGCATAACCCAGCTATTACCCCTGTTTCTTCCTCTCAGGCCACACTCTGAAGGATATCACCCTTTGAGATTGGAAAATGTCCCCTTTTACCCTGCCCTTCTGGCCCTCTCCCCTCTCCTTGCACAGGGATACTTTGAACTAACACTGCCAACCCCCAAAGGAGCTAAGTGCAGGAGATTCGCTGGGCATTGTAGGTATTTCTGGAGGGATGTGAAGCCCAGATGCTGTTTGAGGCCATGTCTTGCCTGGTCACTGCTCAGTCTTGTAGTGTCCCCTGGTGTTTGAAGACATCAGCTCAAAGCAGCTGGAGCTGCAGTGCTTACCCCAGGGTTTATTTACCTGGGAACATCCAAGGAAGTACGTACACCTTGGAGATGGACCTGCAGTGCAAAAACCCTTCTGTCATCTACCACTGTATTCCCAGGGACATCCCTGGTAACACTGTGCTCCCAAAAAGGACACTGAATGATCATTTTCAGTACAAGCCTTCTCAGAATTGATATAAAAAGCTCACTTCAACATAAAACCATACAGAAATGTTTACATGGGGGGAACCGGAGGGATTTGCCTCTTGATTTGGGCTCCAGTGGACATAGTGTGGCCATACTGTGCCTGTGCCTGTTTTCCTCCCCACATTAACTCTGAAAGGCTGAAATCACTCAAATCCGAACGGGCACAATTCAGCTCCTACAAGCCTGGCAAGAATAAGCAGCCCTGCAGAAAATATTAATGGCTCTTCATGCTTTCACCTATTTATAAATTGGGCATAAAATCTCTGGTGGGATGTGAGAAACAGAGGGAAATACAGCCTGGGATCATGGAGCTTACTCCATGAGTGAGAAGAGCCAGGAAGCCTTGCAGAGAAAGCCTGCTGGCTTCTCTTGTGGGCCCCTTCCCATGCTAGGGAAGAAGAGTAATATGATGAGCTGAAAAGTTTCTGCATTATGAGCCAAAGGATGTAAATGCAGGCACATCCCAAACTCCCAGTTTGAGCAATATATATGTGCACAGCTATATATATATGTATACACATACTATTTTGGTAGTTAAATCAATCCCTGTATACTAAAGCCTCTTATGTGTATACTAAACCTTATACTGAGAATCTCAAAGGATCAGATTCCTCAGGATTGATGTAAGATTTGTGGATCCTTATCTTCATGGAGGATCAACTTGCGATAAATACATGTGAGATTTTCACCTAATAAAAATCCAGATGGATTGTGTTGTTATCTAGCGTAAGTGCTTGACCTCAGCACTTGCTATGGCTATAACCTACAAGGCAGTATTGTATTTAGAAAGCATGCCTTAGGTTTTGCTGTTCCAAGTTGGTAAACAAAACTGACTGGAGAGACATGCAAGTCTTGGTGAGCTAAAATGATGCTCACGGACAAAGTAGGCGTCCAAGACTGAGAGTATTATCCTAGGTAAAATTTCAGCTGAAACAAAGTTGGTGTTAAATGTAGTTATCTCAAATGAAAGAATATGACCTACTGAAATTGCATTCGAATATTTATCTGATCCCTACAACTAGTTTGATACTTTTTAGCTTCAAAATTTATTGGCACGTCAAACTAGTACTATTCATTTCTGTATACCTTTTTGAAGACAGAGGTCATTTACTGTCTTTGCATACCACCTGATGTGAACTTCGGTTAGTTTGCTGGACATGAGTTTTATAACAAGCCAAACTTTGTAATGTTGACTGAACAGACACATACCTCCCTTTGTATCTTATTAAATCTCACTAATTTTCTGTGCTTTAGTTAAATTCTCTTACTTTTTTTTTTGTTGTTTTTTTTTTTGTTTTTGTTTTTTTTTTCTTGAAGAGAAAACAATGACCTGGGGAAAGCACTGACATCCAGCACTTTCTGTGGCACTGTTAAATACCATGTTGTGTTTCTCTTTAAAGCAAGACAGGCACACATGGAGAGAGAACAGCAGTGAAAAGGCACAGCCCCAGTTCTAATGTGCACCGTGTATGAGCTGGAAATCCATTCATAATCAGGAAAAGATTTGTGCGAGCTCCCATCTACTCCCAAACCTAGAGAGCTTTTCAAGCTGGCTCCCAAGTAATTTCCCTTTTGCAGGGGCACTGCAGCAATTGCAGATACTTCCAGGAGGTGGCAGGAATATTTTTTGCAGAGGAGGAGGAGAGAGAAGGATAAAAAGGAGGAAAGAATACACCTGGCAGCATCAATCTGAAAAGCCTTTTACTCTTCCCATGCTGAGGGGGGTGCAGCTCTCTTCACATGTTGGCCTCTGGGGGACATCCCTGGTCCGAATCACAGAATCATAGAATGGCTAGGGTTGGAAAGGACCTTAAGCATTCTATATATCGCAATTTTCTAAAGAGGGGATATAAAATAGTTTGGTCCCCATTTGGCAATGAGTAGACAAGCCAAGAGGGTTAAGGGAGAGAATCTTCCACTCTGCACTCATTTAGTTAAATGCTATCAGTAGCGCGACACACAAAAGCCTTCAATAGTCTATCCTCTCTGGGAAGTTACTGGTCATATACTGCTTACTGGCAACGTCGAATTATGTCGGAAATACTTCTGATGGGAAAAAAAAAGCAGTGTTTAAGCAGAAAGGGAACCTGGTTCTGAGGCTGTTCTATAGGAGACAGGTGGTGAAGGGCTTAACTAGGTGTGGTGCAACACCCTCATGGGCATAATGGGCTACTGAGGAAGGTGATGGGCTGCTGTTGGGGGTGATTAGGCTATCAAGTGGATGCCTAACGGCCTTCAATGCTGCCTAAGCCAGGTGGAAGAGGGAGTGGTGCTGTTTCATGGTTCTGTTCTGCCCATGGACAGCCAGACCAGGGCTCTCATTATCCCTCTTTTAAATACCCAGATGTAAGGAAGTACTTCTCTGCACCATTCAGGGCAGCAGCACCAGGTAGTTTGGGATTTGAACTTTGCTGTCAGAGGATAAGAGCATGACTTCACTTTGTAGACAAGTTTGTTGGCTCCTCTATCCTCCCCAAAGCAGGGATGCCTCTTTGGTAAGTTTTGCACCTGAAGCTACATTGGATGATACTCTGTGAAACTAAGCTTAATGAATTACCTGTTGGCTATGTTTCCATAGGAGCTCAATTAATTATTAGTTTGCTTTGGGTTTTAGCATTAGCACGAGTGAGTTTGTCAACAGCCATTCCCAATCTGTATTTCTGTTGCTTCAATGAACCACGCTATTCATGAATCTGTAACCATGGAAGCTCTTACTGAGTGTGACTGTATTATTGTGTTGAATTGGTTGTGACTAGAAATGAAGCCTGGCTGTCCCCAGCCCCTCTGATCTCTTGAAGAGTGACTGAAACTCTAACGTTTATTTTCTGCTCGATTCCTATACTCAACATAATGTATTACCCCATTCCCTTAAGTACAAAGGAAGGCTGGAGGATTTCTGAGCAGATCTGGATTCTCAAATGTCTTTGCTCTTCCTACTTCAATTTATAGGTCTCATAAAGGTGACTGCATGTATTGTTATCTCCAGGTATCCCAAGATGGACAGGTGACCTGAAAATCCTGTCCTCCAAAAGCATTCTTTTGTGCTTTGAACTTAGAGGGACCCAACTCTATTGTTAGTATTATTGTCATTACCCCTTAGTAGCATCAGGTGTTGCTGTGGAGGATCAGCTTTGTTGTACATGCACTACAAAACCAAACCATTTTTCAGGGCCTCATTCTCACAGCTGTACCCTCTAAGCATGTAACCTGAGTGCTGCTGAAACACTGGAGTTTGTAGGGTGTCCTCTGAACTCAGCCTCTTGAGACAAGCTGGCATTACAGCAGCAGGGATATTTTCTCAACGAAAGACTTCTCTATTCAGAAATTGATTTTTGACACACTTTAGTGGGACATTATTGAAACCATTTGTAAAATTGCTGTGCTGTATTCATATTGTATCATGCAGGAATTGGAGCAGTAGTGTGGAAATGAACCATTTCAATCTCAGTTAATATGAATTGTTTCAGTCTTATTAAAACACTTTAAGAAGGTCAAAGGAAAATATTGTTGCAATATTTTGCAACAGGGAAGATTTGCCTTTGAGATCACATATAAGTGTGATCATTCCCCAAACAACATGTTCTAAAAAGCCTCACAATAAAGAACCATTCTGCAGGGTAAAGTTAGTAGTCCGAATTTGGAGTTGTTTGACCTAAGAATTTTCCTGCATATGCAGCATCTTAGGAATCTCAGTAAACTATCAGGAAATACTTGCTGACCATCATGAGGTCCTAATGGTGGTTCTCCATCCCCTGGAAGCTCCTCTAGGTTCATTTTCACTGGGTTTAGTGACCACTGTGTAAGTTATTTGGGCTGAGGCTGCACCCTTGATGTGCATTGACTAGGATTCTGAGCCCCAAATTTCATTTCTACCTGTGTGTGCCTATGTATTTGTGCAAAGCCAGAGGTCTGTCAGCAGACCAAAGCATTTGTGGGTTAGTTTCAAAGTATGTGGGTGGTCTAAGGGGACCAATGTGAGCAGTAGATCTGATGGGGTAGTTCCATACTGAGACCCTGCTGTCAGCATCTTTCAAAGCAGGTGTGTTGCGCATGCTAGGTGTGATCTGTAGAGACTCTCTTAGAAAACCAAGTTTCTGCTTGAAGTGTTGATATATCAAAAAAGCTTTAAAGCCTTGAGGTGGACTTGGATTCCAATCTCTTGTCACTTTAAAGGAAAACAGCCTGAATTAAATCAAGGAGAGGTGGAAAATGTCTATTACACACTTGTCTTGGGGTAATGTAACTGCATTTTGTGCTCATCTCTCAGGGCAGATGTGTATTTTAGCTCCTGGTTTTCCTCAGCATTTGCTTTTCAGGTGTCTAGAAGCTCTGGAAAAGGTATCAGTATTCATGTTCCTGTCTTAAAAATGCTGGAGAAAATGTGCCTACCTTTGGGACCAAGAAAGGGAGTGAAGAAATGGAGACACACCAGTCTAAGAAGCTTTCTGTATGCCACGCTGATGGGCTGTTGCCCTTTGTTCAGAGCACAGTTCGCATACCTTCAGACCCTGAGACAGAAAACATGTGAATGGTCTCCGTCTGAAGCATGGGCCAACTCATCCCTGTATTAGGAAGGCCACTGCTTTTCTGTGATCCTGTTGTGCAAACTTTCATCACACAGATATCTTCAGGTTGTGTCTTCTGCCGCTCAGTTTTAGACTGACTGCCAAGGCCAATCACTGACCTTCTTCTTATCCTTTTTTAAACCTTCCTATAGTAAAACTCATCACTTATTGAAAATGTAAGCGTTTTATTTTCTACTTTATCTTCCTTCATTAATCCCCTTTGTCTTTCACCCTCATTTGTAATACAGGGGAATGAGAAAACATCTCTCATTATTTAGCATTAATATTAGTGTTAGGTTTCTATGTGTTCTTTTGCAGAAGCTACCAGAACCTCCTTCAAAAGACCAGTATGTATCTGTAACCAGGGTTTGCATTTCCAGATCATTAACAAACATGGATTTATGAAATTCTGTCAGTTTGTTTCTTTATCACCGAGAAGGAGAAACAGAAACCCCTTCTGCTGTCATCTCCTTTGAAAGCATTTAATACTTTCTCTTCATAGTTCCTCTGCAATTCATGCCAAGAAAATATTCCTGCAAGGTCAGGTCTGCTGGGGAGGCCAAATGAAATGTTGGACCTCAGTGGTATTATGAGATCATCTGGACAGGTAATATTGGCCTTGGGAAAGAGCCTTCCTCCTTGAATTCATAGAGCTGGCTGCAGCCAGCTTGTTTTTTTTAGGAAATAAAACAGTCTTTGAAGGGCCTTATCTACAACTAACACTCGGTAGCTTAAGCCTAAGAGACCCTGGGCTACTATATCTAGTTTTTCCTTTCTCCTGCCTAGCTTCTGACAGCACCTAACCTTGTTGTATTGGCTTTCTTTCCCTAGGAAGTGGGAGAAATGGCAAGCTTTGCCTTAGAAGGCAAAGAAGACCAAAATATGCCACAGAACTATAGGCAGAACTGTTGCAGCAACTGCAGCAGGTTTCTTCTTCTGGTCTCTGCACCTATCTGTAACCATAGTTATTTGTCACCAGAAGACCCAAGGCTGGATATAAAAATCTTTTTTTCCCCCTGTGTTCTTGCTTTAGTCTCCCAGACTAAAAACACCCCAAGCAATCTGATAAACAAGGAAAAAGCTGATATGATAACCAAGTCACAGAAAGCTTGCATGGGTCACCTGATTATCACACCTTGCTCTGTGACTGTTGAGGAGAGAACAGCTGAAATGCATTTTATTGCGATTTCATCCAGAAACAAGGGAAAGCCCTAAATTTGCTCAGAAACACCTGAGCTTCCCAGTGTTAAGGAGTCATTCAAGGCTGGGCACAAGTGTGGGGATTGATGAGATTGCTTTGGGCTCCAGGCAGTCCTTCAGGGTAATGCTAAAGCTTGTTTTTCATCAGAAGAGCAGTTTAGAAAGGAGTATCCTGCTTTATTAATTCTGTGAAGAGTTGTGCCCGCCTGAGCTAAGCGTGGAAACTACATGGAAATATCCATTCAAATCTTGACTGTGAAGGAATGAATTAGTGAGCTAATGTCTTTTTGTGGTCCTTGCCCAGCTCTCTCAGCCCTTCTTCACAGGAGGAAAAAGTTTGTGGGGATGCTGTATGGGTCTGTTTATGTTTTTCTGAGTGGGTCTTCCAGTTAATGCTCCTTTGAGGTGAATGAAGCATTTCACATCTTTCCTAGCATTTTTTTCCCTGCTCTGTAGGTCAAACCAGCCACCAAACTGGTCTTGGCCTGTTGCTTTGAGGGTTGTGGTTTTGCTGTGTTGCCAGAGAAGGAGCTTGTTTTGCTGCAGGCAGGGTAAAGGGCAGCCTTAGAGGAAAGCCAGCCTCAGATGCTGCTGTGTTGTTTCATGTTTAATTAATGTGACTTTGGTTTGTATTTTTGAAAGAAAGCTTTGTTTTTTTTTGCTTTGGTGCTGCATTTGTTGGGGTCTCCTTAAACCTGCTTGTTCCCCATAGGTGATTACAGCTGCTTGGGTACCTCTTTACATGGTGGTTTGAGAACAGTGCTGGCCCTTCTGGAGCAGAGGGAGGTTTGTGCAGGCACTCTTTTCCTTGTCATCCTCTTGTGAAGGGCTGTGAGAACCTCTGTAGTGTCTGTGCCACTGGCACATCCTGCTGCTGCCAGGCAAAGCAGCCCCTGCAGACCTCAAAATGCAGGAGGAAGGTTGCTATTTCTCCTTGGAACAAGCACTCCCATGCAGCCTTAAGGGAGTAGGGGAAGGTATTCCCACTGTTTTTTCTTCCTATTTAAGGTAGTGGGGATCATACTTTCTGAAACATACTGGAATTGGTAAAATAAAGTTGGCCTTCTGAAGAAACTTGCATTTATTTGAGTGATTTTTTTTTTTTTCTCTGATTGTGTGGGTGTGTATATATGCTGGGAAAGGCAATAATGTTTACTGGAATTGTACTACAAATGGTTGGTAACTTCCAATTCGCTACACGATAAATATCATAATTGATACTACAATACGTTAACATTCAAAGCATAAGCTTCTCTTTCATATGGATTTATTTTCATGCATGAATAGTGTGGAAGGTTTTGAAGACATCTTCTTTCAAAGACTAGGACATCTTTGAATCTCCTGTATGAAGAGGATGATAAGACCTCTTTTATGAAGAGGTGGATATTACTGGGCTTTTGTATATAGAAATAAATGATAGAAATTGTTAAAAGCATTTTTTAAGTCTGCAGAGCTGGGTTGAACAACTTGCACCTATATTAAATCTTGGGAACTGGTCAGCAAATCTCAGTGCTTTCACTTCTGTCTGAGCAGGTAATATTAGACTTGTGGTAAATGATGGAAACTATCCGGTCCATTGAAGTTTAGACCAGGTGATCCTTGAGATACTTTCTAACCTGGTATTCTACGATTGTGATTCTGTTGTCATATTGCAGAACATGGAGGGGAATCCTTCCTTTTAAGCTGTAATATAACTTGCAGAAAAAATATGATTTTAGCCATGTGTGAGG